CTCCGTCGAGCTGCCCTCTTCAGCTCGGTAGAATGTGGCGGCATCGGATACGCTGCGGGGAAGATCTGCGAGTGCCCCTGGAGAGCTCCGGATTCGGGTAAGTAACAGGTAGTTCACTTTTATATTTCTGCTTTGCATAAAGAATGCCTTACCCGCTGCTATCTTCCTCATCTCCTCCAACTCTTGGAGGGCCTTTTGGGCTTCGGCCTTGGCAGACTTGGCAACCTCTAGGGCCGTTGCAAGCTCGTATGCTTGCGCCTTCGACTCCAGCTCCAAACTCTCATGTTTTTTCATGAGAGCCTGAAGCTCTTGCTGCACCTCGCCGACCTGAGCCCCAAGTCTGTCTCGCTCGGTGCGCTCCGTGGCCGTTTTCTTTTCGGCCTCAGACAGCGCCTGCTTAAGGGTCGCCACCTCAGTCGTGGCCCCTACAATAAGCAGTACAATCCTGTTACTCTTTTTGCAATCAAGCTTTTTTATAGGCACTTTTTCTGTAAGGTATTTCTTACCTTCTTCCTCCTCGAGCCGCCGCTTAGCAAGGCCGAGCTCTTGCTCGGTCCGCTCGAGGTCCTGCTTCAGGACACCCACCTCCGCAGTCAGTGCGGCGGTGGATAGCAGCGAAGCCTGCATACGCATATTGACTCTTTTTTGTTAGACTCCTGCGATATTTAATAGATCCTCTATTCGGCTTTTGTTTCCGAACGCCAAACAGAGCATCAGGGGCTACTGTCTATGCGGTAATATTTTTACATATTTTTACTTACCTCGAAGCCTGTTAGAAGGCTAGCGCAAGCTTCAGTCAGTCCGCTCTTGGCGGACTGAACCTTCTGGATCACCGTACTCATAATAGTACGGTGCCCCTCGTCGATGGAGGCATCGTCAAGCACCTCCAGCAGATTGTCTGGCACCTGCGGTTGGACGGAGGCCGCCGGCTCAGAAGGCTTGCTCCTCTTGGAAGGAGTTCGCCTACCGCGGTCCGGAACTGTTGAAGATTCCGGCGCGGTGTCCGGCACAATGCCGGACTGAGAGCCCTGGGGGGCCTTATCCCCTTCACTCCTGGAGTCCGGGAGGTTGCCTTGCGGCTCCTCCGGGACCACCTCCTCCTGCCCCAGAGCTTGTCGCGACGCCACTTCGGCGTCGTCTGCAGTGCGGGGGGGAGACAGCGGGCGGAACTGAGTTCACGTCCGATGAGTCCAGGGAGCCGCCCGACGATTCGTCGAATTCGGCCCGGGGCAGACTGCATAATTACATTCGACATTAGGGAAAGCTGTGCAACAAAGGAACATCATGAGTTACCCTGATATCCGAACTTACGATTTCGCCGGACGCTTGGCCCTGTTTGGCCACTCCTCTTTGCCCTCTTCGGCGTTGGGGGCGTAGTCCGGCGGAGGGGTCTTCCTTTTCCTAGACCCCTCGGCCTCCCCCGTCGGGGCGGCCTTCCTCTTCTCTCCTCCCTCCGCTGGGGGGGAGAGTTTTCTTCTTCCTCCTCCTCGTTTTCGCGGGAGGAGGGCATCTCGGACTCGTCAGATGACGAGTCCGACATCACCATGTTGCGAGCACTCTTTCGAGTCCCCGTAGTCTTCTTCTTGGCCTTCTTCTCCGGCACCACATAAGGCGCCGGAACCAGCAGCTTCGCTAGTAGAGCTGGGGCTGGGTCTTCGGGCAGCGGAGCCGGACAGTTAATCGGTCCGGATATCGCCCGCCAAGCCTGTCAAAGGTAAGGGAGTTTAGATCCCGCATAGAGTCAAACTATGAAAAAAGCTTAACATCCTGTAAAAGGTGTAGATGGCATACCTCGCTAGCGTGACGCTGCGAGCTGTATCCGTGGTCCTCGGAAGCGGATGCGGGAGCCTCGGCGCCCTTGAATAGCATCTTCCAGGCGTCTTCGTACGTCGTGTCGAAGAGCCTGCTGAGGGTTTGATGCTGCGCCGGGTCGAACTCCCACAAATTAAAATCCCGTTGTTGGCACGGGAGGATCCGGCGGACAAGCATAACCTGGATTACATTAACAAGCCGGACTGGCTTGTTCACCAGGGACTGGATGCATGTTTGCAATCCGGTCACCTCTTTTTCGTCACCCCACGATAGGCCCGTCTTTTTCCAGGACATAAGCCGCGTGGGGGGTCCGGATCGGAACTCGGGGGCTGCGGTCCATTTCGGATCGCGCGGCTCGGTGATATAAAACCACCCGGATTGCCATCCCTTTAGGGTCTCCACGAAAGAGCCCTCGAACCATAGGACGTTGGCCATCTTGCCCGCCATGGCGCCTCCGCACTCCGCCTGGCTGCCGCGCACCACCTTGGGCTTGACGTTGAAGGTCTTGAGCCAGAGGCCGAAATGGGGGCGGACGCGGAGAAAAGCCTCGCAGACGACGATAAACGCCGAGATGTTGAGGATGAAGTTCGGAGCCAGATCATGGAAATCCAGGCCGTAACATGAGCCCCCGGACAAATGGGTGGAGTGGAAAACCCAGTCCGCGGAGGAAGTGGGGGAGAAATACTACCCTCTCATGGGGCCTTGGGGTGGGGAGAAGCTGCCCCTCTTCGGGAAGCCGGTGCGCGATGTCCTTGGACAGGTATCCGGCCTTCCTTAGCTTCTTGACTTTACCCTCCGTGATGGAGGAGACCATCCACTTGCCTCCCGCTCCGGACATTGCTAGAGAAGGTTCAGGTGGGAAGTGCGGGCTTGGGCGCTGGAGCTCGGGTGCGCAGGAGATGGATAGGCAAAGGAGGAAGAAGGCGTAGGTAAAAAGGTGGATCCTTGTCCCCTTATATGGGCGGATGCGGTTGTGCGTCCCCACCTGCCTAGTAAACTCGCTTGCCTCCCAAGCGTCGTGATAAGTGGCGCGGTTGGGTTACCCACGTCCGTATTGATGAGAATCCCGTAAAAGGGGGGTACACGATCTCTGCTTTGACAAGACGTGCCAAGGAAACCGCCTCGCAAAACACGCTGAGGTGGAAAAGTGAAAACGATTCGAGTGAAGGACTTGGCTGTAGTGTGATGACGCACTGCGGAATACGTCAGCAGATTTGATTTGTGTTAATATTATTCTCTCTATGGCAATATGTGGAAGCTTATTTTGCAGAGCCAGACACTACTCTTGGTGTTTACAATCTTCTATGAAGGACTTGGAGGAGGAACCCGCCTTGCAATGCCGAAGACAATTTGCGCGCCAGACTCGTCATCATTGAAGCCTGGTTCAGGGGCTACTGAGGGAGTCCTGGATTAGAGGGTGTTCGGGTAGCCGGACTATACCTTCAGCCGGACTCCTGGACTATGAAGATACAAGATTGAAGACTTCGTCCCGTGTCCAGATGGGACTTTCCTTGGCGTGGAAGGCAAGCTTGGCGATGCAGATATTCAAGATCTCCTACCATTGTAACCGACTCTATGTAACCCTAACCCTATCCGGTGTCTATATAAACCGGAGGGTTGTAGTCCGCAGGCAATCAACTCCATATACAACAATCATACCATAGGCTAGCTTCTAGGGTTTAGCCTCCTTGATCTCGTGGTAGATCTAGTCTTGTACTATCCATATCATCAATATTAATCAAGCAGGACGTGGGGTTTTACCTTCATCAAGAGGGCCCGAACCTGGGTAAAACATCGTGTTCCCTGCCTCCTGTTACCATCCGGCCTAGACGCACAGTTCGGAACCCCCTACCCGAGATCCGCCGGTTTTGACACCGGCAGTGAGGTACTGCAGGGTCCCAACGATGCTCCGATAGGCCGAGGGTTCGTTGACGCAGGGCCCATCGGCTGAGGGGAGTTTGCTCTTCGTGTCGATGGGCGTCGGGGAAGGGTGGCAGGTGTCCATGCCGGCGCGTTTCAGGAGTTTGTCAACATATTGTTGTTGCAACAAGAAGCCAGCTCGGGTGCGGGTGACGCGGATGCCGAGGAAGAAGGCGAGCGAGCCTAGGTCCTTCATGGCGAATTCGCCTGTGAGGCGCTAGATGACATGGTGAAGCATGCGTGACGAGGACGCGGTGAGCACGATGTCGTCGATGTAGAGGAGGAGGAATGCCGTGTCGTTGCCGTGCCGGAAGGTGAACAACGACGAGTCCGAACACGTAGTTGCGAAGCCAATGGAGCAAACAAAGCCGGCGAAGCGGAGGAACCAGGCATGGGGCGCCTTCTTGAGCCCGTACAAGGACTTGGAGAGGCGGCAGACGTGCTCTGGTTTGTCGGGGTCGACGAATCCGACGGGCCGAAGGCAGTAGACTTCCTCCTCCAAGTTGCGAGGAAGACGTTGGAGACGTTGAGATGGTGCACCGGCCAGCCGTGCGACGCGGCCAGAGTGAGCACCGTGCGGATCGTTGCTGGCTTGACGATAGGGGAGAACGTCTCGCCATAGTCGACGCCGGCACACTGATGAAAGCCCCGCACGACCCAGCGTGCTTTGTAGCGGGCCAGTGCGTCGTTGGCGTCGTTTTTGTGCTTGAAGATCCACTTCCCTGCGATCAGGTTAGCGCCGAGGGGCGGGGCACCAGCTCCCACATGCGATTGCGCACGAGCGCGTCGTACTCAGCACGCATGGCACCGAGCCAGTTCGGGTCCCGACCCTCCAGTCCGACAACCGGAGCGCCGACGCCAAGAGCCCCATCGACCTGGCGCTCATACCCGTCCACGTCCTCAAGGAGCGCCTTGTCACCGCCGGTGGCAACGTCAAGGAAATGCTGCACAACACCAAGAATAGCACGTCGGCAACAGTGCGCCATCTCCGAACCTGTGAGATGGAATACACGGCCAGTGCGAGCCTCCTAAACTTCTGCGACGCCTTGATGGGGGACTACCATGGTGATGATGACGATAGTGTTTTGTCGTTCTACTACGAGCTGTCCGACTGTGTAAAAACGGTGGACAAGGTCTCGGGCTACTGTTGGTTTGCTCTTCCTCAAATTCCGGGGGCGGAGGCGCTTGCCAAGGAAAACAAGGAACTGATGAAGCTGATGTATCTCAGCATGGCCTTCCTAGAACCATACGAATAGCACACAAGTGTTGATTCATGATATGTTTTTTCTGCTAGAAAAAAAATATTAATGTTGCAACATCAATTCTACACTAGTAGAAAACGGAGCTTTAAAATCGGTTCGTAAGGGCCTTTAGTGCCGGTTCCATAACCGGCACTAAAGGGTGGGCACTAACCCCCCCCCCCCCTTAGTACCGGTTCGGCACGAACCGGCGCTAAAGTGCCACCACGTGGCGTGAGCTCGCGCCCTGGTATGGGGGACCTTTAGTATCAGTTGGTGTTACCAACCAGTACTAAAGATTTTTTTTGAATTTTTTTTAAAAAATTTGGAATTTTTTTTATTTTTATTTTTTCTAAATTAATTGATGATTTAGTCTCTAATCACCTCTCTTAACTGCTCAAGTGTGGATCACTCATTCCAAATCGCCTAACTTCCCGGCCGGTCACCCATCCTCTCACTCTCCCAGCCTGAGCACGCTTAACTTCGGAGTTCTATTCCCCCTAAATTCCAAGTCTGCACTTGTTGTTTTCCTGACAAATGTAAGCTGTCAATCCTATTAACTCTCAGCAGTTTAGCTTGAGCATTAAGTCACACGTTTCACCGTTTGAGTTTGAAACTATTATTCTAAAAAATAGTAATTATTTAGTAACACTAATATTTCTTGAATAAGTTTGATCATAGTTTGACCACGGTTTGACCATAGTTTGACCAGATTTGACCAAAAATAAAAAAAATTGAAATAATTATTTAGTAACACTATTATTCTTGAATAATTATGTAGTAACATTAATACTTCTTGAATAAGTAGTTTGACCAGATTTAACCAATTTTTTTTAAAAACCTGAAATTTGACCGTATCTTTTTTCTTTTTGGAATTTGAGAATTCTAAAAAATTGCAAACAGACCGTAGGCCGTCTCCATCGGATGCGGATTTCCGTGCTGAATTTTTAGATATATTATACGTTTTTGTCCGACATCGTATGCAAAAATTATAGCCGTTTTACATTTTCCCTACACTTTTTTCAAAACATGTCCAAATTTAAGTTTTCAAATTTTCCTAACTAGTAGATGTAGTAATATAACTACCTCTCGAAGGATTTTATTTTTTGAAGTTTTTATCATTTTCTTTT